TGTACCGATTGATGATGGAGTATTGTGACAATAGCATTTTGTCAAGGCAAAGCACAAGAAACATCGTACCCCAAAGTAGTACAAGGTGTCATGCAAATACAGTGAAGGTGCCACATGACTTTTCTCATGCTGGAAAGAACAATGCCCCCCACACACTTCCAATAATATTATGTGTTTGTTTGCTAGGAACTTGTAGTTCTCTGCTCAGTGTTGTTGAGCTAGTGGGTGCTATGTGGAGGGCAGTCCCTTGAGTGTGGTGAGTATCTACTAGACACAATTGGTACTGCCACAAGTGACAAGTGGCCAAACAAGACATGCTGTTAATGATATGGATGCAATTAGGGTAAGCATGAAAATCCATCCATGCCTCCTTGAGCAACAGAGGGATTTCAAGGGAAAGGAAAGGAGGGACTTAACACCTTTCCCCTTGCCTTGGTCCAGGCTCCCAAAAAATATTCCCTCAAAGCTACTTTTTGCATTAGGAGTGGAGTGCCAGCCAAGGTTTCCCATTCAATACAAGCTGCATCTGAGGGGAGGTGGGGTTCAGCAGCCTGGAAAGAGATGTCCCCCCTCTCTCACTCCTCAGCTTTGGTAGGTGAAAAAGTCTCCCAGACATGTAACCGATGGAAACAGGACAGACTCTTCCATAGTTTTACAGTCCAACAGATATGACACAAAAGGAAAAGGGGTTGAGAAGGGAAGAGGAAAAAAAACAAATTAAGAAATAATAATCCTTCTTATAATGACTATCTAGAAGCATTTCGGCAAGAAAAAAAAGTCTGCTAGAATACTTTAAACACAATGATTGTGTGTTTGTTACCAAGGAAACACCACTTCAAGTTAGGGGAGATTTCAAGGCTACTCTTGGCTATGTTAAATTTTAACTGCACAATCTTTTAGATCTTTACTAAGATTTACACCCTACTGAGTTCAATACAACATACTCCCAGGTAATAGGAGCTTTGTTCTATGCTGGCTAGGAGATAATGGGAACTGTAATGCAACACTTGTGGAGCTTGGACAGTCTCCCATGCCATTTCCTGGGTGTCTCAGTTATTTCTCCAGAGAACTTCTATATTTGGTTATTTTGGCAGATTAAAAAGAGTAACTACAACACTTGCTTTTAAATGGCACTGCAGTCTAGGTTTCATCTATGCATATAAATGTACATATGCAAAGTTCTATGCAAACTATCACCCTCTTTTGGCAATGCATTTCTGCTCTTTTGGCAGTTCATAAGTAGCCAATCTCTTCCTCCTTAGCAGTTTCCTGCCATTCTATAAGTCAGTTTTCTTTCTCCTTTCCAGTGCTTATCTGCATCTGCTCAGATTTTACAAATAAAAATAGCAATCATAAATATGGTCATTCCCTGCCACCCATCATCCTTTATGGAAATGGGGTCTGGAAAATGTGCTGTTTTTGCTGCTGCATTAGGGTGTTTATGGGAGTGAACCTGAAGGAGTGAATTGTTCCTAAAGAAGGGGAACTTTCTAACCAGAGAGATAACTTTCCTAAGGCAGTAATGCCTGCCTGCCTGCCTGCCTTGAAGTGAGCCCAACTTAACCTAGTGGGATTTATTTCTGAGCATACAGGGATAGAATTGTGTTGTCCCTCTATTTCAGCCATAAGGCATCACAGCCCAGCAATCTCTCAAGGGAAGGTTAACTGAGGATTTCTCACATCATCACAAGTCTTATTAATTATTTTTATTGGAGGGTGGTGGAGGAGAAATTTATCAGCAAATTTCATGTGGGCTATAACATATCTGAGCTACAAAATATTGTTAGGTTGGCAAAAGCCAAGAAACCAGGTATCAAAAAGCCAAGTAAGGTTGACATCTATCTAGATGGGAATGTATTGAGGTGAAATAGAAACATACAATAGATGACCAAAGAGACCAGAGAGAGAGAGAGAGAGAGAGAGAGAGAGAGAGAGAGAGAAGTGATAACTTGGAGAGGACAACTTAGAAGAGACATATGAAAATGTAAATGCTGATGCTCTTTCTGTTCAATTTTTGCTTGTAGACTTTGCTTGTGGTCTTGAAGATTCACCTGGACAGAACGGGAAGGAACACTTATTCCTGGTGTCTGCATGCTCAGAATCTGGAAATGACTGTGGGAAGGAGGCAATTGTGGGAAGAACAGTGTTTCCCCCTTCCCAGTTCTCATTTGGCTCACTCCGACCGTTTGCTTGGACTGTTTCATGGGAAAGTCTGGGCTTGTAGCCAGACAGAAAGTGGGAGTGGAGGGAGAGGAGCAGCTACAGCAGCAGCTCTGGGCCAATCAACTGACAAGTGAGGAGGGTGGTAGAGGGCAACCCTACGCAGAGCAATGCTCTCCCTTCCAACACCTGCCAGTGACTTTTCTGGGGCTGATTGTGAGTTAAGAGCAGAAGAGGATTCCAGATGAATTGGGCCAAAGATCCATATCATTCATTCCTCTGTTTGTCACAGTGGTCAGCTAGATGAGTTTGGGAAGCAGAGAACTGCTGCTTTCTGTTCCTCAGCATCAGGGAATGAAACATATCCCTTCTTTGGAGTGTCCAGTTAGTTACTACACCTAAGGTCCAATTCCTGCAGAAATGCAGTTTCCGCTGTATTTTTTTGTTTAATCAAATTTCTAGTGTGATGCACCAGTTAGAGTGTTGGACTGGGGTCTGGGTGACTGGGGTTCTAATCCCCACTCAGCCACGAAGCTCACTGGGTGACTTTGGGTCAGTTACTGACTCTCAGCCTAACCTTCCTCACAGGGTTGTTGTGAGAATCAGATTGAGAGGAGGAAGAGGAGGATTAATGTGAGCCACCCTGCATTCCCTGAAGTAAAAAAGGCAGAATAGAAACATAATAGATAAATTATGCTAAAATATTTTGCAAGTATGTTGCTATGCCTACTCTGTATGTCTAACCTGGTCAATTTGTCTAACTACTTCAGCTATTAAAGGGATTCCACATACTGAAAATCCTTAAGACTTCACATGTATACTTGCAAAAGCCTGAACACACACACACACACACACACACACACACATTAAATTATGAACACATTTGCACTATTTCTCTGGGGCTCAAAACACATCCTTTGTTGTTGTTGTTGTTTTAATGTGCTCTGAAAATAAAAAACTGAGGAAAACAGAAAGGGGGAGTGATAGGAGTGAGAAAGGGCAGACAAGATGGGTTTTGTCACAAAGGACACTGGGAGACATCAGATTTGGTGCAGCAGGGAGGTTGTTACGAAGACGGGGGCCAGCGCAGAAAAGGCCCTCTCACTAGTTGCTACCCTCTGAGCCCTTTGAGTGGTTGGCACCCAGAGGAAGGCCCCCAAGGTTGAGCATAATTTTCATAGGTGAGCAGCCCTGATTAGATCAGGGTTGGGAGTGATGTTCAAGCAGATATTGTGATCCAAGATTGTGTAGGACTTTATTGGTAAAAAACAAAACCTTGAATTGGGACCAGATATAGAAGAGCCAGGACTGGTCTTATATGTTCACACAGCCTAGTCAGGTTCATTATGCTGGGTGCCACATTCTTTCCCAGCTGCAGCTTCTGAATCATCTTCAAGGGCAGCCCCACATAGGGTACATTGCAGTAATCCCATTTAGAGATTACCAGAGCACAGATTTCTGAAGCCAGGCTATCCATGTTCAGATACCAGCAGAAGCAGGAAGAAGCTCTGAGCCACCACTGTCACCTGGGCATCAAGTGACAAAGATAGATCAAACCTGCTCCTTCATGGGGAGTGTAATCCCATCTAGAACAGGGTCACTTGCTGAAATAAAGACACAGGGGCTCTGATGATCTATGTTGCATCTGATTCCCCTACATTAAAGATATACAGGCTTTTTCTCTATATAGGATTCACTTCCTGCAGGCCCTTCTTGAACCTTTCCGCCTTTTTTTCTGAAAGCGAATGTCTTCTTCTCTGTTGTCCATCAATTCCTTATTAGGGTGGCCTAAGGAGATTCTTTAAAGACTTAGAACATTCATAAATTAGCATATGCAAAGTTATGGTGCTTTTTCCCTTGGTCATATGGTCCTATATCCCAAATCTTTTTTGTAGCATGTACTACCCTTAATGATAGGTAAGTGCACTGGAACCCTTTTTTCTGAAAAGGAAAATAAATATCCTTAAGTACTCCTCCCCACCCACCCGCACACACACACACACACACGCGTGCGCGGAGAAAGCAGCTTCAGAAGGGGTGATACTCAATGGAGAAGCAAGCAGATATGTGAGGGGGAAAGGTTTACTGAAGCCTTTCTCATCCCGTTTTTTCCACTTTAAATCCTTCCTCTCTACAGCATATTTTCTACTTGTGGGACTTGTTAGTTTGTTTGAAAACAATTTTAATAGTCGTTGAAAATCTGGATCCAAAAATTCCACAACCATAACCCGATTAAGTCCTCCTAAGCAGAACTTATTCCCAATTAAATTCTTGGAAGTATGCAGGGGTTAAATAGACATAGACTTAAAACTAGTCATTCCCTTTCTCAGCCATTAATGATTCGGGGAACGGTAATTCCTTGAGGAAGAATACAGAACTTTTAATAGGATATTCTTAGCATCTTTACCAAACTACAATTCCCACCTATACCGGTCATAAGACTAACATAAGTGTGTAATATAGTCGATGTGTTCATAAGTGTAGAATTAAAAGGATGCATACAGAAGAAGGACATGTAATGCTTAGGCAGAGTTGACAGCTAACAGATACTGGGGAGACACAAGCAAGAGGGAGTAAAACCCCCCAACAACTCTCCAAAAGCCAGCCAAGCTCCACTGAAAGTTTTCGGCACTCACAGGCGGATTGCTTGGAAATTAAGCAACGAATGCGCCAAGGAGGATCAATGACTGCCAGAGCCGGGATAGCAGCCAATAGGAAGCGGAGCTGTCGGGCGGCTCTGGGGGCGGGGCAAAGAGGCGACACCGCTGCCCTGTGATTGGTATTGGCGTGCAGGTGAAGCCAATGGGGCACCTCGGCGGCGACGTTCCTTCTTGCTGGGCTTGTGACGTAGGCTCCCCTTTCAGCTGTGACACGCACTGCAAGAAGCCACCGCTTCCCTTTTCACCCGCGCACTCGGCGAAGGGAGGAGAAGTCGCTCGCTTCTCGAAGGTATGGCGGCGCGTTTGGCGCGCGGGCTGTCTGACTGCTTTTGCGGGGTGGGGAAGGGCGTGCGGTGGGGCTCCCACTAGCTGGGGCAACTCCTCTGGGCCCCTCCTGAGGAGTGCCCGTCAATCTAGGGCCGTCCTTCCGGAGGATGCCGAAGAGAGGGTGGCCGGCGGAGCCAGCTCCTCAGGGATAGAACAGACCTCTGGGCGGAACCTCGCTTCCCGCATTACTGTCTTTCCGCTTTTCAAGCCCTCTGAAAAGACCAAAGCAAAAAGGTAGCCCCAAAATGCTCTTCCCGCTTGCAGCTTCCTCCTGCCTTAATTTGATGGAAAGGCAGGTCTGAGCTCCTCTTTATTGTTTGTGATCAGCAGCTCTAGATACTATTTGGGTATCTCCTGACCATGGGCAGAGTGTTCACCAGCGTACGCTAAGAGCATCTGTTTACTTTTCAGCCCCAGCCAGTTTTCCGATAGAAATTTTTGCACAAAGTGGTGGGTGCCTCAGACTCCAAAATATGTGAAGTCTTGTCCTTATAGACTCTATATGAAGTTTATAGTAGATAATCTTAATAGACCTCTTTACTTCTCTCAGTTCTGTAGAGAGCTATAGCGAACTAGTGATCTCAAAAGAAGGTGCAGGAGGCTTCCTATTATCTTTAGAAGAAAAAACATTGCTCTGTTTAAGATCTGACTCTGATATGATACACATTTATCTAGGAGTAAGACCTACTGAACTCAATAAGGTTTATGTTCAATAAGGTTTGCACTCTTAGTGATTAGCTGATTTCTCTTTTCTCTCTCTCTCTATCCAGAAGTATGTCATCTTGGTATATTGTAGCAGTGATAGTGGGTAGAAATGGATGATTATTTTAAAGAGCAAACAGGCTTGAGAGAAGCATTACCACCAATGGTATAAATCCATAAATTAGTCCTGTGGGTGCCGCTTGCGAATGAGCTTTTGTGGGTTTTTGAAACGGTGCAAAACTTGCAAAACCTGTTCACAAAGACAAAAAAAGTTTGGGCAGTTGGCCTGCTTACATACTGCCTTCAGCTCTTTGAAGAATATTGTCTGCTCCAGTCTGACATTTCCCAGCTCTGTTAAGCAGATATCTTTTCCCAGCTGATACAGTAAACCAAGTTTTTTGGAACTTAAAAACACTGTTTTCTTGCTGTTAGTTTATCTGTATGGCTGTCACTTATTTTTGCTATTGCAGCTGATGATGGGCCTGTAGAACTATTTGAAGGGTGAATTATTTCATAACCAGGTTTTAACCAGGTTATTGTTTCATAACCAAGTTAAAGCATTAAATAAGGAAATGGACTTGAGAAGGCATCATTTTAGGTGGATTTATTTTGTATTAGGAATGTTCTTACAACTTTCCAAGTGACAACTTTCATCCACCAAAAAGGGTATATTTATACAATTTTAAAATCTGTATATCACATCTGATTTTTTCAGAAATGACCTCAATGTGTTATACAGGAGATATTGACTTAACTCAGTATCCATGATAATGGAGAACTTTAAAGAAAAATCTGTGCTACTTGGTAGGCCTAGCATGTGATGGTAACTCTCTGAACAGTTTTGTCTGAATTTGTAGTATCAGAGCTGTTCATTTTATTAAGCCAAATTTTATCCTTTTCTCAAAATAGGACCTGTTTCTTGCCTGTGCCTATTGAGCAAGCTAGATTATTTTCTGTGGGGGGTGTGTAGGGGGCAGGCCTGCACTGGCCTATCAGGTTGAATAATTCAGCCTGATGTAACCTCCAGTGATGCATTTTTAAAACTGGGCCTTATCCAAATCTTATGTGGTAAGGCACTTGCTCTTTTTTGTGAAATCTGTAAATGTCATACTGGAACTATGTTAACATCCTTTGTTAATATTGAAGGACTCAAGGGGTCTGGACCTGGTGCACTTTGTCCAATTAAGCACAACAAGAATGAGAGGAAAAAACTGTATTTTATTCTTGAGAGGAAGGTTTGAACATGCAACATGACAATTCATCCTGAGTGCATGGCAGAGTCCCCTTTTAATACCCCTGATGGCCAGGTAGCAATGACAGTTGCTTACTGGGTTGAAATTCCCACAGTGATTGCTGACTGGCACATTTGAATACAGGTGGTTCCCTTGCTTACCTGGGCGACTGGTCTCCCTGGAGTTTGGGCTGGGAGCTTTTGGTGGAAGACTGCTCAATCTCTGGCTGTTTGTAATGCTCTGATTTAGGTCGACAATGCTTGGGACATGACCATCCTGCCCAGGCACAATGCTGGCCAGCCAGGTACATTCTACAATATTAACAGGAGCACCCACTAGCTCTTTTTGAAGAGCTTGCAAAGTTGCATAACCATATGCTGGCACCATAGGACAAGTACAGTGCAAATATATTTGTACTTACTTAGAAACAGGTCTTGCTATGTCCAGTGGTATGTGTATTTACAAATTGCAGTGAAAGACATCTAGAAATATGTTCCCAAACTTAGTCATTGCTAAAAAATTGTGCAATAGGATAGAACCTAAGTCTGTGTTTAACTCTGAACACAGATATGGGAAATATGGGAAGGTAGTGTGGTAAACACAGTGAAAAAATACAGAAATGGGTTATTCATTCATTAATCTTGCCTTTGCATGGTGCTGTGCAAGAATATTAAATGTACTTTCAGTTAATCCAGGACATTGTGAAATTCATCCTTGCCTTGCTAGGATGATTAAGAGTTCCAGGTGAGGAGTTTGTGAGATATGCTGCTCCAGCAACTTGTGACATATTACTACATGTGACTGGTCTGGTCATATTTTAGGCAGAAACAGTTTTGAAAATCTTCTTTTCCACTGCAAGTTTAAAGTTCCATGTTTAAACTGTCAAACTTAATAATCAGCATACATAATGAAATAAGTGCAGCTGTATTTTATGAAAATTAAGTAAAAGCTACTGCAGTTGCTTGTAAACATTAACTAAAGATGTAAATTACTTGAAATTTGCTGTATGCTTTTCCATTCCATCTGCAAAGGTCCCTTTTATGCACAGCAAGAACCTGCACAGAGGACACTATTTTCAGGGTGGGAGGAGGTGACAGATCCTCCCATTTACCTGCTGCATTTGGCTGAGCAGCTGCGGTGTGTGGCACCCGGCAAACATAACCTAAACTCTCTAGTCTGTGCATTGTTTAAGATTTAACCAATACTTTAATCAATCTAGGATCTAACTTTAACTGCAATGAAACTGTGACATGTATTTGCGTGAAAGCTTTGAGAATGGTAAGAACTTAAAAATTCAACAAAGTATTAGTACATTCCCCTCTTCTTTCCTAGTAGTGAGATGTTTAAGGAGAGGAATATGTGGTTTAGTTTCCCTTTGGGAGAACACTGGCTATGTGTGGAGGTATTGCTTTATTTAGAAATACACAAGTAAAAATATATTTTGAGAGCTATTTGCTTCAGTGGGTCTCTCTCTCTCTCTCTCTCTCTCTCTCTCTCTCTCTCTCTCTCTCTGTGTCTGTTTCCACACTTTTTTCAACTCTATTAAGAATTTCAAAAACAAATTACATCATTTTTCTACATAGTCACCTTCCTTTGCATGCATTTTTCCCAGCGTTGTACCAACTTTTTAATGCCATCAGCAAAAAAATATAACGGTTTGAAGACTCCTCGTATAGAAAACAATTTAAAACGACACACATCATACTAAAAGCAACAAGATCCCCAAAAGGAGCACATGTTTTAGAGCCATCTTAAATAATCAAGAAGGGATAAACCTATAGCAATAAATTCATTCTGTTTTCTCTATATAACATACCCCTGAAAGTAGAAGAAGACCCCTTGTTTTACAGAATTCCGTTCCAGTATGCTGCTATGAGGGATAATTATGATAATATAATATAGATATTGGAGGATAAGGCTGACACTTATCTAGACCCATTTCAATCTGACCTGTGTCAGCCTTGGTTGCCCTGACAGATAATCTTTATTGGGAGAAGAATGAGAGAATACAATCCTGTTAATTCCACTCAATCTCTCATTGATTTTTTTATTCCATTGGCCATGGTATCTCTTGGATCCACTCTGTGGGTTAGGTATGGGAGACACTGTGTTGTGGTGCTTTTAGTCTTGCCTGCAGAACTGATTTCAGAGGGTAACACTTAGTGACTCTGCCTTGGACCCCTAACAGTTGGGTACCATCCTGACTCCAATGTTGTTTAACATCAGTATGGCACCACAGGGAGTGATGATTGGGGAATTTGAGGTGAAATGCAATCAGTGTGCTGATAACTTAGTCATGTCATCCTGTGACACATAAAACAGGAGAGGTTGAGCAAGTTCTAGATCAGTGTTTGGACTCAGTGATGGGTTGGGGGAGGGTCCATAAACTGAAGCTGGATCCTGGAAAAACAGAAGTCCTCTGAGTGAGTGGGGAAAAGGCTCATTCCCTGTTCTGGATGGGGTTACATTCCCTCTGAAAGATCAGGCTTGTAATCTGGGTGTACTCCTAGATCTGTTGTTGAAATCCCAAGGCACTGCAGCAGCTTGGAATGTCTTTCCCAATCTTCTGGATGGAGATAGGTTGGCCACAGTGTTACCAGGACTAGTAACCATAAGACTGGACTAGTGCTCTGGAAGCTGGACCTTGTGCAGGATGCAGCAGTCAGCTGTTGTCAGGAGCTGTTCTTTTTTAGCATGTAACTCTTCTGAAAGAACTGCATTAGTTGCCTATTTGCTACCAGGCTGGGTTTAAGGTTCTGGTATTAGTGTACAAGGCCCTGAACAACTTGGGACAAGATACCGGAGAGCGTGTCTTCTCTCTTATCAAGCTGCCCTATCACTGTGGTCACTGGGGGCATTCTCTTGGTGGTTCCAATAGGATCCATGGCCTAACCAGAGTCTACCAGAAGGGCCTTCAATCTGATGGCTTCAGTGTCTGTTGAATTCCTTGCTCTTGGAGGTCAGATAGGCATCAACACTGTGTTGTTTTCAGTGCTCACTGAAGACTTAATTCATTCTTGGAGCCTTTCTTGCTAAATACTCATGGTTTTGATGTTATTATGTTTTTATTATTTTATCTTTTTTAGCTTTTTTAAACTGTTCACCACTCCAAAATATGTTTAGATATGGAACAGTATTCAGATATGGTTAATAAATGAACCAATAAAGCTTGTTGTGTTTCTATGAATGTCTTGTAAGTTCCTGGTTGAGTAGTGCACTTTGCATATGTAGAGTATTGCTTAGTGTTTGAAATGCCATGGAAGCTATTAAAAACAGCCACTCTGGTCTTACAAAACAGGCAAACTACTAATCATACTGAAGCATAAAGCAGGATCTGTTTATCTTGAGGATAAACTGATTAGCGCTATCAGTGCTGCAGAAGTCTAGTGACAAGAGTGATATTGCAGTTCAGATTAAAATGAGCTGTAAAAGCTCCATATATGAACACTTGCATCAGTTAAACATGCTGGACAAATATTTTTAAGATCTTTTTAGTAGCATCAAGGTTCTAGGATTCCATGAAACCAGACATTCTTTTTGTTTTTCTTTATATGCCTTTACTTGCTGCTAAATGGGTAACTGTGAAAAAAACATTTCAGTAACATATTTTATAATTACAGAACTTCAGTATGTTTCTTAATCCTGAAGGCCGTGGTCTTCATCCCTTGCCTGTAAGCCTGTAGGTAGTATTGGGATGGAAAGTGCTTGGTAAAATGCTGGATGAGATGATACCTGATCTGATCTAGCAGGATCAGCACATCTTTTAAAAATGCTTTCTTTTAACATGCTCACTGTGGTTTTTTTCCTTGCTTCCATCTTGTTATCCAAATCAGTTTAACAGTCTATGCAATCTATGTACCTCTGTAGAGTATGTCAAAGAAAACTTAGCATCTTTGGGGTCTGCATAACTGGAACTCGTGTAGAAAATCCTTTACCATTTTCTTTTGCTGTTTAGGCTTTCATGTTACAGAAGCTGTGTAGTCATGCTTTTTATGGCTCAGAGCTGGGAATGTGCTAAGGAGAAATGGCTGTACAAATTGTGAAGTGACGTAGGGTATCCAAAAGGTCACTCATCATACTGATGTTTTTGATAAATTGGTGTAACTTCATCATTGACTGATCTCATTTGTATGACAGTGTGCAAATACACTCACTCATGAATGCAGGTATCTGTGCACCAGTTGGTAGGAAGGTAGGATACAAGACTGAGAGTTGTAATGGAAACTAGTGTTTAATTTTCTCATGTTGTCTCTTCCATACTGGCTAACTTCTGGAAAGTTACTGCCTGTCTACCTCCGTTATAGAGCTGTACTGGCTGTTTTGTGAATTTTTAAGTGTGCAGTAGGAAATGGACTGCCTCTCTCTGTGGTGAAATACTTTCAATGTACTTAGATCATCCTTCATGTAATCACATCTATTTTTGTAGATGCCTGTGATCAATGTTAATGGATTTCTTTGCAAATCTGATGGTGAAGCTGCTGTCCTCCATGAGTCTCTATGTTTCTCACCTGTTTTCCCATGTTACTTTTCTTTTCTCAGGCCTATACCATATTGTAATCATGTTCTCTAAACTGACCTGTCTGCAGTCCTTTGGTGTTCTCCGTCGGGGAGTTCATGCTTCAGTGAGTTCAGCAACATCTGTTGCTACTAAAAAAACAGTCCAAGGCCCACCCTCATCTGATTATATTTTTGAACGTGAGGCCAAGTATGGTGCACATAACTACCATCCACTTCCTGTTGCACTACAAAAAGGAGAAGGTATGTATATTTTATCTATCCAATATAGTGCCTTGCAGAAGTATTCATCCCCCTCAATGTTTTTACTTTTTGAGTTCCACATGAAACCCAGATTTCAGTCCAGTTGAGAATCTGTCACAAAACTTGAAAGTTGCCATTCGCCAGTGGTCCCCATCCAACCTGACTGAACTGGACCGATTTTGCTAACGTTGGGCAAAAATGTGCAAATATGATAGGTATTTACCCAAGAAGACTTGCAGCTGTAATTGCTACCAAATGTGCTTCTACCAAGTATTAACTCAGGGGGTTGAATACTTCTGCAGGCAAAAAGTGTCAGTTTGTTGTTGTTTAGTTTTGTGTCCCATGACAAATATTTTGCATCTTCTTTGTGTTAAATATCTTTTGTACCTCAAGTGGTAACTATGCCAGTTAAATCAATTTCAGTTCCAGGCTGCAACTCAACAAATTTGTAAAAATCAAAGTGGGTAAATACATCTGCAAGGCACTATATGTTCCTAGGCAATATTTATTTATTTATTTAAAACATTTCTATGCCGCCCCATTTGCCGAAGCCTTGGGGCGGCTTGCAACATAAATTAAAATACATTAAAAATGTAAACAAATTAACAATATAAAATAAGTCGCCCTGGCCAGATAAAATAAGCAAATAATATTAACAATGAAAATGACATTTAAATAAAAAGGTCTTCGCCTGGCGCCAAAAAACGAATAACGACGGCACCAGGCGGACCTCTCTGGGGAGCGCATTCCATAGATTAGTGACTTAAGTAACATTGAGAATATCAATTCAACCATATAATTCCAGTTTACCATTTTCTTCCACACCTTTTGAAAAATGCACAGCCACCACAAAAATGGTGTTTCCATGGGGAGCAGAAATACTGTGATGGTACAACTGCTGCATTTGCTCTTTCTCTTTTGCTTACTTGCTCATGCTTGTTTTTTCAGAAGAGAGAATGCTGAGAGAGTAAGCAAGTGGAATGCCTGTTGGTGTTTTTTTTTTAAGTGCCAATGGAAACAACAGAATCTGTGATTGCTACCTGTATATTTGCTCTTTTTATGAAAGAGAAGGAGTAAGTTCACATGTGCCGCTAGTACGGGGAAGGAGAAAGGGACCAGGGTTTTGGGAGGAAGGAGCGGCAGGCAAGTATCCAGAACAGATGACTGTGACCTCCCATTCAACTCCTGCCAGCTTTTCTTGTGTCTGGAAAACCCTCATAGAATGGAAGTTAAATACTTCTCTCATGGGGAAAAATTGACAAGGTGAGCCAGTGGGCAGGGACATAATAGCATAAATAAAAGCAGACTAAACAGCTTGGTGGCAGAAAGCCAGTTCTCATCCTTTGGGTGTGGCTCCAGATCCCTAGGTTCTTTTTATCAACTATGAATTCCCAGCAAGCCACTTTTGGATGTGGGTTATGGGTAGAAAGGTAATACTGTGCCCCAAAGTGACCTAGTAATAAATCATTTGAAATTATTTGCAGTTACTGTGCAAAACCACTATGCCAAGCAAGAGACACATTCTTGCTTTACTAGCCTGGGGTTATCTTTTTGCTTTCCCTCCTATCAGTAATACCAGCTGGAATGCTCTATTTGAACAAGGTTTTTCCTCCTGGCCTGTAGGCTTATGTCTCCATCAATCCCCAGATATCTGAAGAATAATCACAAGGTTGAAGGAGGTTGGCATATAAGGCATGGACTAAGGTACACTCAGTTATAAATCTGTATTCTTGCTTCACTGCTCCCTTCTGATTTTGTTTCGGTGCCTGGATAGAGGTAGCTTTTTGTTAGCTGACACTGATGTAGTACACAGAATGGGAAATTATTCAGTTGGTCTGATCAGGACAGAGGCTCCTATCATTTGCAAGAGAGGCAGCAGCAGACAAAGGTTGTGTTTGCCAGTCTTTCCTTTCCTGATGAAGCTTGGAGGTACGGATTTCATAGAGTTGTGAGAAACAGTCTACAGCTGTCACTGGCTGAAACACATCTGTGACTGCATCTCTATTTCTGGCTGCCTCTCAGTTAGCATTTGAAGCCATCTCAGTGGAGATGGCATCAGTTCCTTGAAAACTCATGAGAGTTTGGAGAGTGTAAGTGTCATGTTTTCCTTGCTTGCAGAGAAGAGCAATTCATATTACATTACGTATTGTTTGTGACCTACTTTGCTTATAAAGCATACTGCTCTTCTGTATTGGCTCTGCTTTTCATAGATACAACATGCTTCTTTCCTAAGACTGAAGCGAGTGAGTTGGGAGTTTGAAACTCTTTGTTCAATAAATGTGTCTTGCTACCAGATAACTGTGTACTGTACAGGAGTCTAGCTCACACACAAGCCTTTCTGCTGGCCGAAAGGTGAGAGCACGCATGCGGCTGTATTGTGACCCCTCTTTCCTTTTACTGCTGTATCATACAGCTGGGGGAAGTAGCTGGCATGGCTCTTCAGAGATTCTGCCTTGCAGAAACGCCTCCCTCTGTAGGATGATTCTGCAGAGCCAGGCATTTTGGCCAGGCAGGCTCTCCAAAGAGCCATATGCCTGTTTCTTGCGTTGATGCATTTCTCTGAAGGGCAGCTGGTCTGAAGAGGGTGAATGCCACGGCAGGGAAGCAGGTGGCAAGGCTTTCTGTAGCACCTACTAGAGGCTGCAGGAGTGCGCTCTCCTGGCAGGGGTGGGAGCAGGGGAGTAGTGCCGTTTGCCACCACTTCTGCTCTGCTGCCTGAGGCAGGGGCATTACTCTGGTCCATGGGAGGGTTGGCCTAGCAAGAGTCCACCCACCGTAATAGTAGACAGCCTTTATTTTTAGCACTCAACTCTATCCCAATGTCCTTTGGCATATGACAAGAACCTGGAAGCATACAGTTGAAATGTTCTCCTCTTTCCACAAGCTTTGGAGAAAATTAATGCACTGTACATCCAAGTTGTTTCAAAAGTTCCCTCATATGAAGCAACAGACTGAGATGAATCAAGAGATGATTGAGTCGCCCACATCTGAGGTCTCTGAGTCATGGAAAATTCAGGAGAGCCCCCCACCCCAGGTCTGTGGAACACATTCTCGACAGTAGTCTGGCTGGTGCTGAATCTGACATTTTTTCAGCACCAGGTTAAGATGGTCCTCTTTTCTTGAGGCCTTTAAAGACTTGCTTGGCTGCCCAGGGGCCTGAGGGGAATTATGCATCTTGGATGTTTCTGCAGAGCTGCTCTTTGTTGTCTTTTTTTAGCTGTTTTAAACTTTCTAACATTTCCGATTTTTTTCATTTTTATTGCATTTTTATTGTCTGTTTTAATGAACAGTTATAAACTGCTCAGAGAGCTTCAGCTGTGGGGTGGTACAGAAATGAAACAAACAAATAATACATCTTTGGTCACCTCAGCAACCATATCTTGTGGTGCCTATGTTCCAAATTGGGTCTTAGTTGATATATATTTTACATTTTTAAAAGTCGCACCTGGAGGAAGAAGTCTGGTAATGCAAACCTTAAAGAAATGGTTTATCTGAATAACTATAGTTGTATACCAACCTTAAAAGATATCACCCCAAAGTTCCTAGCCTTTTTAGTTGCCAGCATTTTACTTAGAGGACCTTACAAAGGAAGGACTGATCATTCCATCTCTTCTTTACCTCCTCCCCTCATGAATAAGAAGCAGAACAGTAAAATTATTTATAGCCTTGGAGTGCAGTTTGCTCTGTCCCTTTGCTTCCAGCCCATTTTTCTTTGTGCTAGACATAACCGAAAACAAGTGGACCTGGAAAGGAGGCTGGACCAGTCCATGCCATGACTAAATAGCCATATTCCTATGCTAGCTGTAAAGAAGGTTCACTCTGTCTGTCTGTCTGTCTGTCTGTCTGTCTGTCTGATTGGTACTTAGTGGACTGACCAATTAGAAAGATACCAATTTGTGTTTTCTTCCTAATAGATGTATATAGCAGATGATAAGTGCATGTCGGCAGTTGCCTTATGGTCCAAATACCATTTTCCTTCCACTTGGTCCTTGCCCTTGGAACAATTAAATGCCATTCAGTGTTTTCCTCTGGTACTAAGTAAACTTGATAGCTAGAACAAAAAGCAAATAAACTGAGGCTTATTCCTAAGGCCATCTATACAGAGTCAAGCTGGCTATAGGTTATTTTGCATCCCAGCTCCAACCTCCGGAGCCTGTCCTGAAGTTGATGCTGGGGCTCCAAAGCTGGAGCACCACTCCCCTGCTCTCTCAGGTGGCAGTGAAAGAACCGCATTAGTTGCAACTCCGAGGTTTCACGAGTGACTTCAGAGACAGAGTTTTGTGGGTGGGGAGTGAAGGAGGCAGGGAGTGCCAGCATATTTCGTATCCTGGTGGTTCCTCAGTCTCTACTTATATTTTGGGGCAAAACTTCGCTCTTTACTTCTTCTGCCCATTGTAGGATGCCCATAATCCTCCAGGTTAAGGAGATTATGGGCAGCTTCATTGGGTTGAACTGCCATCAACATGATTTCCTAATTTTGATGATCGAACATATTTCTCTTGCACAGAATGATGCTGTTGTAGTAATTGCTGTTGAGAGCTAGGTGTGCGATTCTCTTTCTCCCTCTCCCCATCCCCATTTCATTTTTTGTTGTAAAAGTTACTGGGCTTTTGGTTCTGTCTTAGTGCAAAGCATATATGGACTTGAACACATACTAGTAGGTGCCCAGGACTTGGGACTTCAGATGCTTATCACGTGCCCCACAGTTTCTCGTACGTGTCACCGCATTTGGCAAGCTTCACTGCTTCTTGAGAATGCATCTTTAACCTAATTAGGAGCTCAAATAGTGCCAGAGTCTAACTGTTCTCTTGCTACTATGTAACCTTGTAGTAAAACAAACTTCTGGAAACGTCTTACAGGTCAAGTCTTATTGGTTTACAGTGGCAAATTAGCAACTTTGTAAAGAAGTAATACCTCACAGAACATGCGTTTGCTACATGTTCCAAACTACCAAAGTGTCATGCAACTATTATCAAGTGCTTCCTTGAGGACAAGTAAATGGTTGTTTTGTTCTGGGCATCTTGTGGCTTGCTGAAGCATAACGTCAAGGGAAGACAGCTATGTAGCTTTCAGTTTTCCTTGGAGGACTGAAAAATAACAGCTTTCCCTTGCCTTTGGCCTATAAAGGACTTGCTCACTTAAATCAAACATGTGAGCTTATCCATGAAGTTTAGTCTGCCTTACATAGAGTTAGGCAGAAGCTGTATGTTGAGTGAAAGTTCGAGAGTTATCTCGTATGGAAAAAATTGCTTCTTTGCAGTCTGGAAAGAGAAAAACAAGAATGTTTCAAACTATGGCATGCCAACTAACTTGTCCTATGGCCTCCTAAACAGAAGAACTACAGGATACTTTGGATTCCCAGATCTGAGAATGGAGACAGAACTCCAGTCCCAGAGCTGAGTAATTGTGAGCTTCATTCCCCTTCCTTCCATTGCACTCTCCTCCCTCTTGAGAAGCACCCTCAGCTAGGAAACATTCATGTAGCAGAAATGCAAAACAAGTAGTGGGGAGGCAAGGAGTCCCTTTGCCAGTCCTCCCACTCTGCCCAGGATGCTTGTAATTCTCACAGTTCAGTCTTATGGGCAGCTTGTTTGGCTTGCATCCTTAGTTTCTGGAATGCTAATTTGATAACAATATCAAATAACTATGGTCTTTCCCAGCTGGCTAGTATGGAATGCTGCCTGTCACTGCCAACAGGTTGCCACAGACTGCACAGAAGGCATAACTTCTGGACAGTGCTAGTAAAGGACAGAATTCTGGCAGTTCACAGCATACAGTTAATGCTCCTTTGGCCAAATGCAGCATACTGGGTTAGGGTTAGGAAAGAAGTCAAAGCTGGGGTTGGATTTAATTTTAGCAGCTTGTATTTTTAGACATCAGACCTCAGTACTGCTACAGCGCCTGCCTGTAGGCTAACCACTGCTGCATCATGACCCCTAAACTATCAGTGTGTTCTGTGAGTGCAAGACAACAGTCCTTTGCTTGTAAAACTAAAAACTCAAGTTTTTGCATTCAAACCTATTGGGGAAATGGAAAATTATGAACTTGTACACTCTGTACTGATGTTATTCTGGCCAGGTTTTGATAAAGCAGCCACACGATTCATGAAGTGTGGCTGGAGTGGTAGCTGTTCTGCAGAAACTATATATTTTTCTATACTTTATTCAATATCAGTTGAATAAGCTGGACCATGATTCTCTATGTCTATTCAGAAGTAAGTCTGCTCTTAGTTCAGTGGGATTTCCTATTAGATAAATGATTGCAACTGCAACCAATTTGATCGCTTTCACTCTATTCCCAAATTCCTCAAACAGTAAGTGTTCTAAATTTATTTGTGTATGTTTTGTACAAGATATGCCATGCTAGTATTTTCCAAATACCTTCACTTTTTTTCTCAATTTTTTCCAGGAATTTATGTGTGGGATGTAGAAGGGAAAAAATACTTTGACTTCTTAAGTGCATACAGTGCTGTCAATCAAGGCCATTGTCACCCAAAGATTGTAGCTGCTCTGAAATCCCAGTGTGACAAACTTACCCTTACGTCCAGAGCGTTTTATAATGATGTGCTTGGTGAATATGAAGAGTATGTAACTAAAATGTTCAAATACAACAAGGTGCTTCCAATGAACACAGGTAACATTCCCTGTCTTGTCCTCCCAAAACCTTATGAATGAACATGTGAGTGCTCTAGAGGGCAGTTGTGGTTTCCTGAAGCTTGCAATGGCTTCCTGGGTGTTCAGAGAACACCAATTTTGATGTCTATTTGACCATGCCCTAAGAGAGCTTAATGTGGCTATGTAAATGCAGGTAGCTCTTCTATATTCCAAATGGATAAGTATCTCCTGGGGGATTAGATTCTTCATATTTCTCTTGGGAGAAGGGGTGTGTATACAGGATTGAATCTTTTGTGGGCCCAGTGCCACTTTCCTTCACTTTCCTTTTTTAAAGTGCCCTTGATGCTGAGCTTCCATTTCCCTTGGTCTTGGTAAAGGGTGCATTAGTCTTGCCTGCTTTGCATAGTGTGTATCTGTAGATAGTCTGTACTCTGGCTTCTGATAGTAATGGATATCCTTTCCTCCCCACCCCCACCACCGCACCCTTTCCCTCCATTGTATGTCCTTTTTTGCTTTAGGTGTGGAGGCTGGTGAAACGGCCTGTAAGCTGGCTCGTAAATGGGCATATACAGTGAAAGGAATTCCAAAATACAAGGCAAAGGTTATTTTTGCAGGTATGTGAAAGCTTAATAATGTGCTTCAAGTGGTGACAATTTTTTTTTATTATTATTACATTTTTATACTGCCCATAGCCAAAGCTCTCTAGGCAGTTGACAGCAATAATCCTAGATCATACACTCAAGTCACCCATCCCACTTCTGCCCAGGCCTGACCTTGCTTAGCTTCCAAGATTAGGCAGGGTCAGGCACTTCAGGCTACATGGAAGCTACAGATAGGAAGATACCTTGTACTCTGTCATACCCTTCATGTATCTAGACTAGTATTGTCAACACTGACTGGCAGCAGCTTCCAGGGTTTCAGGGAGGAGATTTCCCAACCCTGTATAGCGCTTCCAGGGATTAAACATGCATGCAATACAGTGAGACACAGTATCTTATTTCTGGATAAGCCAAATGTGATACAAATTTACAAGATGTAAATGTATATAAAAATACTGGGACGGTGCATCTTTTTCTTTATTTTACTTCTGCATGCAGAGTTCTTGCCACCCTTCCCTTTGACAAGAATGGGAGGGAAGTGAGTACACTAGCTCAAGGACTGGCATTGCTCTTAGTCCTTCTTTGGTCATGTCACAGGGAATCAGGTATTTGGTCCTGTGGATCCAGGGCTCTCTGCTGGACTCTGTCCTTTACACCACTGGTGAAATGCCACCAGTGGTACCTCTACACCCACAGAGATTTCTGCAGCTACACCAGGGACTCCTCCAGCGCTGCTCTTGTGCCAGTCAAGTAGTGTTTGTGCATATTCCAGATGCTCTTCTGGCAGGCTGTAGAATTGTAGTGTATTGCACTTTACTTCAAGGGTTTAGTCCCTGGGACCCAGGCTTCTTCCTTCTAGATGACATCTGTGGGTGGACACTCTTCCTGAAGCACTGCACACTATTGTTGTGGGGAAGTATTTCCATGCAGAGCAACTCCTCTGTGCAGGAGAGGCAAAGAGTGGTTGATCTATACCTTCTACTTGGAGAAAAGGGCAGCTCCTCTCAGCAACAGAGGAAAGGCTGCTGTTCTCTATTGCTGAGGGAGGAGACATCATCTTCTCTCCAAGCAAAGAGAGAAGAGTGGGTTTTCCCTTCCTCTGCTTGAGTGAGTTTCCTGTTCTTCAGCTTTGGGAGAGCAGTGTGGCATGGGGGAAGACATCCATTGATTGGAGAATCCCCTTCCCTGCCCTACTGGGTGCTATGAAGCCTTCACTTGTGCTTAAGGTTGCTGGGAAAAAGGAGCAAATGATTACTGTTTTCCTATTTTGGAAATATAAAATCCAGCAGTTATTTACTGTTTAGATAAGCTAATTAAAAATGTATCTAAATGTACTTTTCTATTAATCCCTGTGGTATCTTTGTATAGTGTGAATGTGTAAAACAGTGTTGAGTGGATTCTGTTGTGAACCAGGAGAACAGCCTATGTAGCTCTGGCTGTGGCTGGTTCCAAAATATAGAAGATGAAGTTGTGACTCAGTTGGCAAGGGCACATGATCTAAACCCAACAATGATCAGTGTAAAGTGCTCTACCTTTCCAAAGTATCTAGTGTTTGGTAACCTCTTGAGCTGACTGGGTTCCATAGTATAACTGAATGTGCTTCTTTTAATACTTTTTATCTCCCTTACACCAGCTGGCAACTTCTGGGGAAGAACACTTTCTGCTATCTCGAGTTCCACAGATCCTTCCAGCTATGATGGGTTTGGCCCATTTATGCCTGGTTTTGAAGTAATTCCTTACAATGACTTGCCAGCTCTTGAGGTACTTCAGCATTTTCCATTCTATGAAGCAACCTAGAAATGTTTTTGCTGTGCTTTGTTTTTACATAAACTGTCCTGGAAATTGAAGGGCAATGTGCAAAAGTTTGTAATAAATGATAAAAGTGGTACTGCAACTGTAGAAATGGCTTCTGCAGCTTTAGATATTGGGTGGTGTAGAAGGCAAATAACAATTCTGTATTGTGTCCATGTACAGCCCATGTTACACTGAGGATCCTCTGTGATCCTGCTGAAAGGTGCATGTGACTGACTTGAATGTGTATAATCTTAAGTGTCTGGGGACGAAAGCCTTGAACTCGCTCATCATAGGAGTTTCAATAACAGGAAAGGGTTTGAAAATTAATAATGATGCTACCACTACATGATTTTTTTTCAGTGGAGAATCACTGTTCCTTCTGAGAGCAAAGTGGATGGCCCCCATGCTAAAAATGGGGTCACCCACAAAACAAAGGGAGGATACTGATTATTGAGGGCAACCCTGAGGTATGCAGAGCTAAGTAATATGAAAGGCATGTTTGTATGCAAGGGAAACCAAAGGGAGGCCAACAGAAAATGTGAATTATACAAGTTTTTGGATTGAGAGGAGAAGGAAGGGCATGAGGCAGCAGTCCACATAGGGTTAATACCTTGGGGCAGATCCTGCAAAGATCATTATTTCTGGCTCCCAGCTTGAAGAATGGGGAGGAGGACTGAGTAGGGGATGGTAACTGAGGGAGGGTAAAAATGAGCAAGGAGGGAGAAAGCAAGCAAAGGAGAAGAACAAAATGCTATTTAAAGCAGGAGTAAGGAAGAGTGGACAAAGAAAAGAAAGACCCAGAAGAGAGGAAGAATGGTAAAGCTACATATGTTTTTGACTAGCTTCTAAATGCAGTATCAAATATTGGCAAGAGTAGTATAATGTGGGATAAAATATGTACTCCAGTTGTATCAGTTTTTCCACTTCATGTGAAACTGAGGGGAAGATAATGTTGAACAATGTGCTCTCAATGTACCTTCCAAGTATCATGTAACCAGTGTAATTAAAAAAGAAAGAAAGAATTAAACTGCTCACTTTTTGCTTGCTGAGAATATTTGAAAGGTTTAAGCCCTAAACAAACTTACTCTTTCAGTAAGTTGGTCATGCATGTGTGTGGAGTTGAAATGAAATTAAAAGTCATAATCTATTGCTTTAATCATAGTCTAGCTAACCATAATCTATTTAGCCTAATCATAGATTAGTCATAATCTATTGTGATAACAGTATGTTCTAGTACGGACAGGCCTATTTAGAAGCAGTGTGTTTTAGGCAGAGAGGCTGAAACTATTTCTTCATAACTGCATTTGGTCATCTTGTTTCCTTCACAATACGTTTCTTCTTTAGCGTGCACTTGAGGACCCAAATGTAGCAGCTTTCATGGTGGAACCAATTCAAGGTGAAGCTGGTGTGATTGTTCCTGATAAAGGTTACCTAACAGGGGTGCGAGAACTTTGCACAAAGAATAATGTAAGTAAGCTAAAAAGAAAATGTTTAAGCTCTGGAAAAGTGACCAGGTCTTTTAATTCGCTAATACAGTTGGTTTCATCTGAATCAAAGCTATTAACTATCCATGTAGTTAAGGCACACCCTAGTCATTTTCTGATAGTGCTGATTGTAGTAGCATTTCATCTGACATAGGTTCTATCCAGTGCTGGCCTAACTTAAATCACATTTATTTCAGTGAGTCTGCTCTAAAAAGACTAATGTTGAATACAGATCAGCTTCCTGATCTTTTAAAGGCCTAGCACTGAATGATACAGCATTTTGGAGAAATCAGTGTTCTCTTTTCTTAAAGGTGAACTATTGCTTAACCCCACTATCTTATCAGTTCCAAGTCTGTCTTAAGCAGACAGCAAAGTTAATAGAGTGTACTTCGTGTACCCTTAGTTTGGACTTAAGCCCACTGATGGCAAGTCACAATTGTCTTTTCCAGTCTGTTGATGAGGCCTTTCACAGAGAACAACTCTGTTTACCTTCAGGTATACCACTGGTGAATTGCAGCCAGTGGGATTTTTATAATATACACATCACTTGGACTTTATTATTAAGTAGAAGGTCATACAAAAATGTGGATTATGGATGTGACCAAGTGAGCCATTTGACAATATTTCAATTTGTAGTGAAGCTTTGCAGTACCAAGAAAGACAGACAGACAGGCAAAATTGTTCATTGTGTGATAACTCACCAAGTCTGTCTGCAAGCTAAAAAATATCTTGCTGGACATCTGTTTTCTTTGGTGCTTCCAGTGGTAGAGGTGATGGTAAAACCCTGATAATGCTACGTAGATAGAAATCCTTCTTTGGAGAGAAATTGTTCTGTACAAGGACTATCAAATAGAAACACTGTAATGCAGGAGACCCCATCCGTTTTGGAATTGTGGGCACATTTGGGAACTGTGGTGGCCATTATCACAATATAGGTTCCCAGATGGCTAATCACATAATGGCTGCTCTGAGGGCCTAACTAGTCAAGATGAGCTATGGCAGGGTGGAGGTAAGACATTGTGAGAAAAAAGGGGGGAAAGCAGGAAGGCAGAGGGGTAGAGAGAAGGGAAAGAGCAAGGCTGGAGAACAGAAAGGGCGATGAAGAAGAGGGCCCTCAAAAATTTCAGATTTTTTTAAATTAAAGCAATCTTTTGAAGTGGGCAGGGACGGGAGAGATTTGTGGACACTATGTTAGGGATCCTTGCTGTAAAGGAAGCTCAGGTATTGGAATTTCACTCCTACTATTTCTTAAGAATAGTGGAGAACAAATGTGCCGGAATCCTTACTTTAAAGGTGCACCATCCAGGGATTGAATAGCCCTTAAATTTCTGGTACTGTGAAATTTGTTTGCTTGGAATGTTGGGATGAAGTTACTTTACTGAAGAAATATTTTTCTTTGAATTCAAGTACCAACTTATATATCAATACTTTTAAAAAATAAAACAGGTTCTCTTTATCGCTGATGAGATTCAGACTGGGCTAGGTAGAACTGGGAAAATGCTGGCTGCTGATCATGAAAATGTTAGACCTGATATGATACTGCTTGGAAAGGCCCTGTCTGGAGGTCTTTATCCTGTAAGTATTGCTTATTTTTTGGCGTTTTCCACAAAATAAGTACAAAGCTGTCCTAAGGAAAAAAAAATGTGTTATTGATACTGTGAAGTTAGAACATAGTTTTTACAGTATGGCAGTTCTTTAGTAACTAATTTCCAACTGGATAAAAAAGAGTGCCTTATAGAAAGGAAACAATATAGCATAAGAGCCTTTTGGCTGTTGGATGGTATTAAAACATGAAGAAAAAGAAAAATCTTTCAGGAGAACCTGTTACTAGATGTTCTTGTAGCATGCCTTGTTTTTACTTCTGAAGGGAGCAGTATTGATAAGCTTTTCCATGTTGCACTTGAGGAATTAGTGGCATGTTATTATTTTTCTGTAGCACCACATTTTACATAGGAAACATCTCTGGAATTGACCAATGCCCTATAGCCAAAGAAGGCTATATTAATTTGCTACAGCTATATAAAATGGTACAAAGGGTATACTGGTTAAAATTAGACCAAAACACCATAGCCTGCACCTTAAGCTGCTTTGATATGTGTTTGACCAAGGTTTAAGATCCACACTTTATTAGAAATGGTATGTTTATGCAAAATAACTATGAACTATCCCCTTTACTAGTACCTGTTGGCATAATGGAGTTACTGTCTTGAATCTCCAAGGTTATCAAAACTATTACTATCATGCTTGGATACTGTATTGGTGTACAGCATATCCTCTCGTTCAGGAGCAATTCACACTTTGAAAAAAGCATAAGTTTTGTTAATATATAAAACAAGAATTATTTCCAAACTATGATGCTTGGTCAACAATGGACTAGGATAATTTTTAAAAGGTATAATAGCTCTAATACAGGGTCTACACTCCCTGGGTAGCATGTACTTCCCTAAAATGTTGTTTACTGCCTCCTGTGACCCTAATTTGCTACTGTCACTGCCAAGGACCTTGTCAGAATCAGCACACAGAAAGTTTTCTCCTTGGAAGATATGGTGTGAACTAGCACTAGCCAGATCTTCTGGGTTTTGAGGGGTGGTTTGTGCGTGGGAAAAACGCATTTACATGCTTGTGGCCATTGGGACCAAAATAGTTGTGCACTCCTCTTCTAATACTTGAAACTTCTCTGTTAGTATATATACAAATGGGTAGGATCAACAGCAAACTGGCATAATCATAAACTGAAAGATTTGTCTGTAGAATTACTGAGCTCCGTTATGGAGCTAGGAACCAAGAAGAGAAGGTGATCTTTGAGAAAGTTCTTGTGTTTTAATCCTCTTTTGGGTTATGAATGGTATAAACTGGAAAACAGAAGAAACTAGCACTATGCCATGCTGTTTTGACTTTTCAACAGGGTACTTGATATTGCTTACGAAGAGGAACTTTAATATGCTTGGAAGTTGGAAGTAAGATCTAATGAAATCAGTGGGTATTGCTGCAAAGAAAAAGTCAGTAGGATCAGCTTGTGTGGATTATTTTCCAACGTTAAGATGGAAAAACATAGTCTGAATGCATTTTGGAACCTTCTATTTTTAGTTGAGTCAGCAGTGTAAATATAGGAAATACTTACTAAATGCAGTAAAAACAGTAAATCCTGTCTACTTCCACTGAAAACTGAAACATTTTCTTAGGAATGCATACTAAAGAAAATAGCAAGACATAAAAATTCACTGCGTGGAATTGTAGAGCAAGAACAACTTTGTGAGTGGTCAGCAGCAAATGTTCTGGAAGCACCACAAAGTTATACTGGTGGACCATCTGCAGTATTGTGAAGCGAAAGAGGACTTCCCTTTTTAACTGTAGCAATTTAAATGTCTCAGTACAGAATTTCTGTTCATAGGTTTCAGCAGTACTATGTGATGATGAAATCATGCTCACCATTAAACCAGGAGAACATGGTTCTACATATGGAGGGAATCCACTGGCCTGCCGGGTGGCCATGGCAGCACTTGAGGTATGTAGGTGGCAATTTGAGGCAGGCTTCCCAAACCTGGTACTCTCTAACTGTGCTAGACTGCAGCTTTCATCATTCTCAAGCAGCATAGCCCTTCCCCATTGGCTGTCCTCATCAGGAATGATGCTAGTTGCAGTCCAACCCATCTGGAGAGCGCCAGGATGGGGAAGGCTTGTTTATAGCCTTCAAAATAGACAAAACCACATTGCACTTACCTAAATAACTTGGAATGGCATGCTCAGAGAATTGTTAATTTTCCTAAGCTTGTCCATTCTATGAGGGTAATTATAAAATGCTGTGCAAATACTGAACAAACGACTGCGGAGCTGCTGTGCATCTGCTCCGTATCATACATCTGTTCAAAACTGAGCACTTGTGCCCATCTGCAGCGCTTCCTTGGTTAATTATGTGGTGGTGGTGGTGCAATGTGGACGGTACTGAATGTCTTACTGTGATTCACAGTACTGCCTCAGTGCTCAGTTTGATTCCAAACTGCTTTAGGTAATTGAAGAAGAAGACTTGGTGAAAAATGCAGAAAGCATGGGCAACTTGCTGAGGAATGAACTTATGAAAACGCCATCGGATATTGTGGCCTGTGTCAGAGGAAAAGGATTATTGAATGCTATTGTTATACGGCAAACTAAAGGTAAGTTCATCAGACCAAGGCTTCAGTATGTTGTAAGGCCACCTTTTAATTCTTGCAGGAAAATTGTTCTGAGAACCACATCAAAGACAATAGTACAATATTCCACCCATCCACCCATAATGGATGGCGTGATGCAGCCATTTGATGGGAAAATGGCTGTCATGTTCTCCCCTCCCCCACCTCAGTTTACTGCCTTAAAAACAGGAAAAGGCAGGATGAACATAGAAGGGTATCACCTTTTTAGAAAGGACAGGAAGGGAAAGAGAGGTGGGGGCGTGGCTTTATATGCCAGGGAAGGGATAGGATGCAGTGAGATAGAATGCAGCACAGATGGGGATTCGGTAGAGGCAGTCTGGGTGAAACTTAGGAGTTTTGACAGGGAAACAGACCTGACAGTGGGGGTATGTTATCGCCCTACAGGTCTACTTGAGACCCTGGATGATGTCCTGACAGGCCAGATTCTAAGGATATCTCAGGGGAGAGACACAGTAATTATGGGAGATT